TTGCAGAGGACCTGGGTTCGATTCCCAGCATCCACATGGTGGCTCACAACTGTCTGTAACTCCAGTCCCAGGAGAATCGGAAGCCCTCTTCTGACCTTTGTGGGCACCAGGAATGCATGTAGTGCACAAACATCCATGCAGAAAAAATATACATTAAAAAAAAAGATATGAGAGTAGGGGCTGGGGAGAGAGCTTATTTGATAAAATGCTTGCTTTGCAACATAGGCATCCAGTTTGACCCCCAGGGCCTGCGTACAAAGATGAGCATTATGACATGCATTTATCTCAGGGTGGGGGAAATGGAGACAGGCAGAGCCCTGGTGTCACTGGATCTTAGTTTATACTGCTTTGGCAAGCTCCAGATTAGTAAAATGCCCCATCTCAAAAACTAGACAGTCTTGAGGAATGATATCCTTGGTTGACCCCTGGCCTCCACACACACATACTTGCACACACCTACATCACACACACACAGAAAAAGTTGGGAGGAAGTTGTCATCTAGGTCTGTAATTATGGACATGTTTCTCATGCATGTGATTGCCTAAAAAGGGGGAAATTTAGAGATGTGGTTTTTTTGTTTGTTTGTTTAAATTTCATTTTGTGTCAGACTGTTCTGCAGACTACAGTTTAAAACTTTGATTTTTTTGGTGATCCAAAGTGGTTGCGCTAGCTTCATATATTTCAAGAGTGTCCCCTAGGGGGCAGTGTCGTTCCTGCTAAGTGCAAGTGTCCAGTAACCTGCCGTTCAACTTTGGTTTTTTGTTTTTTTTTTTTTTTTTTTTTTTTGGTTTTTTGAGACAGGGTTTCCCTGTGTAGCTTTGCGCCTTTTCCTGGATCTCGCTCTGTAGACCAGGCTGGCCTCGAACTCACAAAGATCCACCTGCCTCTGCCTCCCGAGTGCTGGGATTAAAGGCGTGCGCCACCACCGCCCGGCTCAACTTTGGTTTTGATGCTGGGGATGGAACCTGGGACCTCTGGTGAGCTAGGCAAGCACCCTCCTACTGAGCCACATTCCCAGCCCAACCATCTTCCTTTGAGATTGTTTCACATTAGGATACAGATCTCTGCCTTTCATGGCGTGCGAGGTTGATCATAAGGACATCATGCACTTAGCACTTCTCTGTCATAATTTTGGGCTGCTGCAAACAAGGCATAGATGAAGAAAACCGACTCTATCATTTTGTTCTTGTGATATCGGTTGGGTAGACGGAATTCTTGGAAGATTCCAGGCTGGGTCAGGGTTTAGGCCATTAGAATATCGACAACTATTATTTGTCCTTAAACTGCCTCGCAAAACAGACACTTCTTTTTTTTTTTTTTTTTTTGGTTTTTCGAGACAGGGTTTCTCTGTGTAGCTTTGCGCCTTTCCTGGGACTCACTTGGTAGCCCAGACTGGCCTCGAACTCACAGAGATCTGCCTGGCTCTGCCTCCCGAGTGCTGGGATTAAAGGCGTGTGCCACCACCGCCCGGCCAAAACAGACACTTCTAAATTCCCTCTAGCAGTTGGTACTCTGGAAGCTAGAATGGAGGCTAGTTACAGAAGGTCTTCAGGACCCTCCTGGGGTCCATGCCTCTGCACAGGGACCACACTCAGGGTCTCTCAAATGAAGTGCTGGGGATTCAGTCACACCCAGCACAGCTACTCAGGTCACTAAGTAGGAGAGGAGATAGCCAGGAAAGCCTGTTGCCAGCAGAGCTAAGCTGGATAATTACATTTTTTGCTTCTTTGTTTAGTAGTGCTGAGGAGTGAACCCAGGGCCTTTCGAGTGGTAAGTCCATAGAGCCCATAGAGTTATGATTTTTTGTTTGTTTGGTTGGTTGGTTGGTTTTGTTTTTTGAGACAGGGTTTCTCTGTGTAGCTTTGGAGCCTTTTGTGGAACTCACTTGGTAGCCCAGGCTGGCCTCAAACTCACAGAGATCCACCTGCCTCTGCCTCCCGAGTGCTGGGACTAAAGGTGTGCGTTACCACCCCCTGGCCCTGAGCTATAGTCTTAAATTCGCCTTAAAATTAAAAACAAAACCATTCTTGGGGGGGGGGGCATAGTGGTGCACACCTTTAGCTCCAGCACTCAGGAGGCAGAGGCAGATGGATCTCTGAGAGTTCAAGGCCAGCCTGGTCTACATAGTGACTTCTAGATTAGCCTGGACTACAGAGTAAGATCCCTCCTCTTTCTCTCAAAATAAAAAAAGATAAAATAGCCAGGCAGTCATGTGGCATGCCTTTACTCCCAGCACTCAAGAGGCAGAGGTAGGTGGATCTCTGTGAGTTCAAGGCCAGCTTAGTCTTACAAAGCAAGTTCCAAAACAGTCAGAGCTACACAGAGAAACTCTGTCTTGAAAAACCAAACCAAGGGGACTAAGGCGAGGGTGACTTAGGGGTTGATGGTGTTTCTGCAGCCGGGATGTAAAATAAATAGATGCATTTTTTAAAAAGAGAAAAAGAAAAATAAGACAAAACAATGGCCACCAAAATAAATAAATAAATGGTCGTTTGCTATTCTCCACATCATAAGGCATCAATCACACAATGCCGGCCCACTTTTCTCCATTTCTCTATGGCTCTGCCACCCCTTCCTTCTCTTAGAGTCCTCTGGTCACATGTTACATGTTGTCCTCCCCGGGGCAGAATTCAGTGGCTGGCTGGAAGATCTGGCACTTTGCCTCCGGAAGGTCCCTCTAGACAGTGACAATGTTGGCCTTAGACAGAGAGGTTCTGGTGGAGTCGCAACACTGGACTCCAAGTACTGCCTCCACCCATAAAAGTCTCCATAGGCCTTGGGGACGCAATCCGGAGGGGTCCCTGCTCCTGTTCAGGGCTCCTAGCTAGGTAGGACTGACACCAGTTTTCACAACCATCTGCGGCTGCTTTTCTCAATCCTCTCAGTGCAAAGGGTGTTCGGGCCTTTTCCTCTGGGTGATGGCCATGGGCTGCCTCCAGGGCCCCACTAGAGCCCCACGGTGGGCTCACTCAGTCAGGCAGTTCAGTGGCCACCGCCTCCTCAGGCCTTCAGGCTTGCAGCTCCAGCCAGCGTGTCTAACCAGGGCTTGGGTGTTTCTAAGGTCCTTGTCTCACCTTGCCAACCTTATGGAAGAGAATCCGATGCCCCCAAGACCCACACACAACCTCTCCAGGCTGCAGACTGCCTCGGACATTACAAGCCAGGAACTTGAGGTATGTGAGTGGTGTTACTGGGCAGAGTGACCTCATGGAGAGAGCAGGTCCTTTTGAATGACTTCAGGGGACTCTTCTTGTCTGTAAACTTGGGAGCATGGAAAGTATGAACCACTGCTGGTCTGTGGTCACTCATGCCTGTATCTTAGCATTTGGAAGGCAGGAGGATTAGTTCAAGGTCATCCTTGACAAACAGGGAGTTTGGGGTTAGCCTGGGCTACATGAGACCCTGTTTCAAAAAAAAAAGAAAAACAGAAAGCCCCAAATCAAAAACAAGAATAATGAGAGAGAGAGACAGACAGAGAGAGAGAGAGAGAAAGAGAGAGAGAGAGAGAAATTACACACAAGGCCTTCGGCTTTCTTCTCTACAGAATAGCAAAATAAATCTCTCCACTCCGCAGCTTGGTAAACCATTAACTTCGAGGTTGAAAGGACTTTAGCGGTGGGGGGCGGGGGCTGAGTTCCCAACTTAACCGACAGTTTATGAAATGATTTTTGAGTCACTTTTAAACCAGGTTTGACGTTAAAAGTGAATGGGAGGGGCAAGGCAAGATCTACTGTACAGCTCAGGCTATCCTGGACCCTTAACCGGTGGCTCCTCCCGCCTCAGCCTCTCCGCCAACCGATTACCGGCGCCTTTTGATCATTGGCTGCTTCCCTAACTACCCGCTTGCTCTCACTCCGCCCCAAAACTGGAGGTTCCGAGCTACGGAAAAGCCGTCAGGGTTTTCTCAGGGAGAAGTTATGGTTGGCCACTTGGAATCCACGTGCTAGCCGGGCTGGCTGGGCGGCTCCAGCGCCGAGCACGACCAGTGGGAGCCTGAGGGGCGGAGAAGGTGGTGACGTTAGAGCCGCGGCCCATTCTTCTTAAAGGTGCAGGCTCACACCGCGTGTTCCCGTTTCTGTTAGCACGAGCACCACGCCACTGTGAGAAGTCTTAAAGGCGAGGCCGGGGTGTCGGGTGCTGAGCTGGTGCGGAAGCACCGCTGCATGCAAGCCCACCCAGAACCTTGGACGGCAGAGGCTCAAGTTTTAACTTTTGAGTGTTTTATATTCTCTAAAATGGGGGCGCCTATGTCAGCAATAACCTACTAGAAAAGTTCTGGTAAAGGCCATCCTGGCCCACAAATGGGAGCTCTAGGCCAGCCAAGGTTACATCGATCGTCTCCAAAAAAAAGTTTTGAGCTTTAAAGGCCATAACAGTTTGAGGCCAGTCTCGAAACACTAGCTTTCTTCCCTGTTCCACGCTCTCACTGGGAGTCCCCGGAGCCCAGACTCCCAAAGCGGTCCTGTAAAATTGCTCAGGCCCCACGCTCAGCTGACACGGCTGCCCTGCCCCTTATAAAGCGTTCTGGGGTTGCAACCTCGTTTCATCATCCATAAGTGCAAAGGATGGTAATTCCTGCCAACACACTCGCCATAAATTGTCAACTCCCGCTGGGGAGCTCAGTGGGCGAACGTCTGCCATTACTGCTCCATGCTCTGATGACCTTGAAGAACCGACCCTCGCGGCCGCTGCCTTATAAAGGTCGCGGAGCAGCAATACCCAGGCGATCTGGAAAAGTCCCAAGGATCGCAGGTCCGGACTCCCCGGGCAGCGCTCCTGCGGGGCGCGGGCGGGGTACACAGAGATACTGCAGCCAGGTGCACGCTCCGTGCAGTCGGCGACCTTGACCTGCTGGCCGCAAGGAGCGCTGGGCCGCGGGGACCCGCCCACGGGGCCGCGGCGCAAGGGCGGGACTCGGGTGGGAGGGGGCGGGCCCCGCTGCACTCCGCGCGCGCAGCCAGTCGGCCCTCGGGGCGGGGCTTAGCTCTGCTGGGGGCGGGGCCGGCTCCTCCGCTCTCCCAGGCGGCCGCTGTGCGGAGCGGGTGCGCGCGGACCCTGCACCGGCCGCGGAGCCGCTATGGGCCCGCCAGGCCCCTGGCGCGGCGCGGCGCAGGCACCGGCTCAGAGCCAGGTGGGCGGGCCGGAACTGGAGTGGGTTCTCCGAGGGTCCCCGGGTGAACCCTAGTCGAGGCTGGGGGAAGGGGTGGGCCTCGCCAGGCGCCCCTTTGGCTGGGCCTGGGTATGGAGTGCGGTCGAATCTCGGAGAGAGGGTTTGTTAGCGGGTCTCTGCTTCCGTCTCGGTTGAGCCCGCGGCTTGTAGTTAAGAGAGAGAGGAGGCAGAGAGTGGCCTCCGTCCAGGCCTCCCGGCCGGGCCCGTCTGGCCGGGGCTGGTAGTGTGGGGGAGGGCCAGCAATCTCGAGAGGGAAGATGGACCTTCCTCTCTATCACCAGATTTGTTTACACGTTTCTCTTAATGCCCAACTCCACCTCTCCTGCCCAGGGCGCTCCTGTGCCTGCCCAGATGTTGGGTGGAGGGACAAGGCTCAGGTGTTTCGATCTTTTGGCCTCTGAAGTCCAGAGGTGCATAGTAAGCATGTGGCTGAGGAAGTGGCTTTGGCCCTCACTGCCAACGGCTATTCTAGCTTCTTTCCAAACTAATGACGTAACCTTGAAGGTCACCGCATCTCTTGAGCCTTAGTTTCCCCTTTGACAAAGTGAAGACGTTTACGACAATTTCAAAGGTTATGGAGGCAAGCTCTGGATGTGCCCTGAGTTCCCTGCTGGTGAAATCCCAGCGTGCCTTGCCTCATGTCTGCCTCTCCCCGGGCCATTCCTTCCTTACCTCTTGTTTGCCTCTCCCCAGGCCGTTCTTGTCAGAGGGTAAGCCCCATTTGACTGCAGTTTGTTTTTCAGGATTGAAACTCCAAGATGGATGACCAGGATCCTGGGGGCATTAGCCCCCTTCAGCAAATGGTGGCCTCAGGAGCTGGGGCTGTGGTCACCTCCCTCTTCAGTAAGACCTAGGGAGGTGGGATGTGGGCAGCTGGGGGTTGATGTGGGCTGGAGGTTGGAGGCAGTTTGGTTCTGATAATGAAGAGGGTGAGTGGGGTACTGCAGGAGCCTTCAGATCTGCCTCCTTCCCCAGTGACACCCCTGGATGTGGTGAAGGTCCGCCTTCAGTCTCAGAGGCCCTCAGTAGCCAGCGGTGAGTACCTGAACCTGGAGCCAGATTGAGGGGGGGCTGCCTGACAAACTATGGATCTCCCAGAGATGGGATCCCAGTGTGTGGGGCAGTCCTGATCACCATGGATGACTTGTGTTTCAGAGTTGACACCTTCCAGATTCTGGAGTCTCTCCTACACCAAATGTGAGTGCCCCGAGCCACAGGAGCCTGGAAGGGCCCAGGAAAGAAGCGTTCCAGTGTCCCTAGAGTACCTGGGGTGCCCATGGTCGTAGACTAGTATATACTTTTAGGTCACATTAGCCAGCCTTGTGTCCTGCGCAGGAATATCCACATAGTGACCCAGCTGTATCACCCAGCAAGGTTCCGGGCCCTGCCATCCTAATGCCCGTCCCCTTCCTCCAGCGCCCTCTGCTCTGCAGTCCCCAGGGAAGTGCCTCCTCTACTGCAACGGCGTCCTGGAGCCGCTGTACCTGTGCCCAAATGGTACCCGCTGTACCACCTGGTTTCAAGATCCTACCCGATTCACCGGCACCTTGGTAAGGAGCAGCCGTGTACCTGGGGGACTCAGGTTTGGTTAGGCTGCAGGTATGGGGAATGCAGAGCAGGTAAGGGGTGGACTGTTTGGTGTAGGAAGGGCTTGCCTGGGATTCGTTCAGGATTTTTGGTTCTGATGCTGAGAATCAAAACAATAACGGTAATATCTTAATACGTGCTAGTCGGGCACTCTGCTACTGAAGAGTGCACCCTAGCCCTCCTTAAGGGTTGTTTTGTTTTGTTTTTGTTTTTTTCGAGACAGGGTTTCTCTGTGTAGCTTTTGGCGCCTGTCCTAGAACTCACTTTTGTAGACCAGGTTGGCCTTGAACTCACAGAGATTCACTTGCTTCTGCCTCCGGGTGCTGTGATTGAAGGCGTGCACTGCCACTGCCTGGCCCCTCCTTAAGGCTTTAAAGGGTGACTAGGAGTCCACCTAGAACCAAATGGGAAGCTGCATGTGTGGCAGCCTGAGGGGCTAACTAGCTCTTGGCAGGACTCAGGACTATGGGCAGAGGCTGAGGGCATCCAGCCAGGCCCTGCCTGAGACCGTCCATCACTGACCTTGCTCATGCCTTCTTCTTTCCCCTGGACTGGTGCTGGCCTGGTCAGGATGCCTTTGTGAAGATTGTGAGGCACGAGGGCACTAGGACCCTATGGAGCGGCCTCCCAGCCACCTTGTGAGTACCTCAGTCTTTGGGGTGTTTCCTTCCCTTGACTCCTGTTGGCTGGGTGAGGGAGGGAGTGTTTGAAAGGTTGGGAGCCCTTAGGTGATTTTTCTGGCCCTTTTCATGCTCCTAGGGTGATGACTGTACCAGCGACTGCTGTCTACTTCACTGCCTATGACCAGCTCAAGGCGTTCCTATGTGCTCAGTCCTTGACCTCTGACCTCTGTGCACCCATGATGGCTGGTGCCCTCGCCCGCAGTGAGCACAGCCCTGGCCCTTGATCTTCTCTGTCCCTCCTGGGTCCCAGCACCAGCTCCTGCCAGCCTGGGGGTGGAGAGAGATACTAAACCCTCAGACCTGGGGTAAGAGCTGGGTTTTGATGCCTGGCGTCTGTGGCCTGACCTTCCACTATCTTACCAACCGTAGTGGGCACCGTGACGGTGATCAGCCCCTTGGAGCTTGTGCGGACCAAGCTGCAGGCTCAGCACGTGTCCTACCGGGAGCTAGCTACCTGTGTTCAAGCTTCGGTGGCTCAGGGGGGCTGGCGCTCACTGTGGCTGGGCTGGGGTCCCACCGCCCTTCGAGATGTGCCCTTCTCAGGTAGGCACTTGGGTTCAGGGTGTAGGGTAAAAGAGCCCTTAGATAGTGTTCGAGGGGTCTGCAGCCAAGTCCCTCCCTTGTTACTAATGGCCATGAACCCACATCACTTCTCTGAGCCTTGGGTTCCTAGTTTGTGATGTGGACTAGGTGGGGGTGGGGGTGGGGTGTGTGTTTGCGGAGGTTCAGAGCAGGCAAGCCTGCACCCAGGGTGGTCTGGCTGGGGTGGGAGAGGAGAAGTCTGGAGCCCACTCCCTGGCTCCCCCCTTAATGAGTGTATCTGCTTCCCAAGCTCTGTACTGGTTCAACTATGAGCTGGCAAAGGGCTGGCTGAACGGGCTGAGACCGAAAGACCAGACATCTGTGGGCGTCAGCTTCGTGGCTGGTGGCATCTCAGGAATGGTGAGTTGATGGGTTGGGGGTGAGGCCACCAAAGGTGTCCTACAGGACCCTGAGTGGGAGTTAGCCGAGATGCCCAGAAGGTCCCCACAGAGCCGTGCCGGCTTGGGAACCTGCTTGCTTTCCCCAGCCACTCTTGGGGGCCTGGGAATGGAGCCGAGCCATGTCCCCACCCCGCCAGGTGGCTGCCACTCTTACTCTGCCCTTTGATGTGGTGAAGACCCAGCGACAGATCGCACTGGGGTCTGTGGAGGCTGTGAGAGGTGAGCTGGGGCTGGTCAAGGTGGAGGGCAGGCAGGGGCCCAAACTGGGTCCCACTGAGCCGGGCCTTGAATTTGCAGTGAAGCCTCCAAGAGTTGATTCCACTTGGCTCCTGCTTCGGAGAATCCAGGCCGAATCGGGCACCAGGGGCCTCTTTGCAGGTGGGTGCCTGCTGTGTGCACATGTACTGTGTCTATCCATGTCACGTATGTGAAGGACCTGGACCCCTAACCGAGGCCTGACCTCCCACCACAGGTTTCCTCCCAAGGATCATCAAGGCTGCTCCCTCGTGTGCCATCATGATCAGCACTTACGAGTTTGGCAAAAGCTTCTTCCAGAGGCTCAACCAGGAACAGCCTCTGGACCACTGAAAGGCAAGGAACAACCAGCTCTTGCGCGGGTCGGGACAGGAGACTGAGCCAAGTGCCTTCCCTCCCACCCAGTCATCCAGGCTACCCTCACACGTGGGTTCCTGCTGTTCCCACCACGACCACTCGTCCACCTCCAAGTTCAAGACCAAATCTAACAGCCGCCCCTTTCTTTGTATCCCTGATATTTGTTGTAGCCTGGCCCCGAGGAATCAGGATCTCGGGCCAGGCAGCCCTGTTTATTCCCCATCTAAAGATGATGACCTTCTGTGCACTGCGTGACTGCGGTGTCTCGGGGTATGTGTGTGCATTTGGGGGTCCCCAGTTGGTCACCCACACTTGTTATTCCAGCACTTGGGAGGCTAAGGCAGGAGGACTGCCTCAAGTACCAGGTCAACCAGTACTGCAAAGCTAGAGTCTGTCTTAAAAAAAAAACAAAACAAAACTGCCACTCTGGGCATGGTGGCACACACCTTTAATCCCAGCACTAGAGTGTTGAGGCAGGTGGATCTCTGAGTCTGAAGCCTGCCTGTCTATAGTGGGTCCAGGCCAGCCAGAGACTGTCTTTAAAGCTTCCCACCTTACGGGGTACCCAGACAGGTCAGATGGGGGTGAAAGGTTGCCGATGTGGTGGTGAGGTCCTTCCATGCTAGACCGCTGTGCTGGGGTGGGGTGAGAGCAAGAGGCCATCTCTCCAGGGCATGCCAAGGTGGCATCACTGGGGCAGAGTTGCCTACTTGCCAGCTCTGGCACAGTGGATGGGCCTGAAACTTTGGGCCACAATGGAGTGGCACAGGCCTGTGGCAGGGAAATGCCCCACCAAAGCACACCCTCAAGGGGCCCTGGCCAGGGCTTGAGGAAGTATGAGAGGGGTCAGAGCCAGAGAGCACTGCAGATCTACAGGAGGCCCCCACCTCGAATTGTGACCCCATGTGCTCCCTCCCACAGAGCACCTGCTAGTCAAGAGGCCCTGTTATGGAGCCCTGCCCCACTCCCCAACAGATGAAGCCACCTCAGCCCTCTGGTTTTTATTTGCCTAATCGCTCCCTACATAGGTACCAAGGAAGGGTGACTTCAGAAGGTATACAGGGGCAGACCAGAGGCAGGGCAGCCGGAATGCCAGGGCTGGACCACCTGCTCCTGAGGTGGGTGTGGAAGATGAGCAGAGGGAACCAGGCAGGCTTCCCAGGGGACTGACCGCCTGTGGCCTGAGTGCCCTTTCCCCTGGCCCCACCACTTCCCAGTGCAACGCCTGCCTCCTTGGCCGGAAGCAGGAAGAGACTTGCTTGTCTTTCCCTAGAGACCCTTGGCTAGGTGGGCAGCATTCTTGAAGGGTTGCCTGGGTTGGGGGACTCAAAGGTGGCAGTTGTCCATGGCCCCTAGCAGATAGGGCTGGCATTGCCCACGCTGTTCCTCAGCTTGGGCTAAGCGCTGGGCTGCCCTCGGGGCTGTCGCTCACCAGGCATTCGTTGGATTTGAAGCTCGCCAGGGACTTGCAGCTGGGGATGGAGGCCAGGGAGCCGCAGAGGCCCAGCATGGAGGGCGTGGGGTCCTTCCCTGGGGAGAGAGGGCGGGTGAGGCTGGACCAACCAGACTGTGTGTGGGGGGCAGGGGATTTCATGGATGGGCAGTAAAAGGACAGTTCTCAGGTCACCCCCAGGAGACTCTTGGCCTCTTCTGGAGTATCTGCCATTTTTTAATTAAACCCTGACTCAGGATGCCTTGCATGGGGCTTGGGACACTGTATTGTAAACGTCACTTTATATCTCTGTCTCCCCCTGAGCCTCAGCCTCTTTGTCCATTTATTAAGCACACAGTAAGCATTTGCTCTGGTTCACACTCTGGGAATACAGAGAATGGACAAGACATGGTCCCTGCCCTCGTGGAGCTCACAGTCTGATTGGGGAGACACACACACACACAGTCACAGACACAGTGTGGTGGGTTACATATCCAAAGCCCTGCTGTGTCTCAGAATCCAGTTACCTGATACAGTGTAGTTATATATCTATATATTTAAAAAAAAAAAAAAAAAAAAAAAAGAAAGACAGGAAGTCCAGGCATTGGGAGAACTAGGAAGGGAAGAACCAAGGTGGAACCAGGGGTGAGGTCAACACAAAATGCATGCGGTGAAGTCCTGGGCATTCACTCGGAGGGAGCCACTAATTTGGTTCTGAGCTTCCTGGCAGCCAAAGAAAAGGGGGAAACATCGGTCAGGCAAGCAGTTGAGTGTGCATGTGGTAGAGCAAACTAGGCTGAGGAATCCCTGGAGTATGAGCCCTCTCCATACATGAACACTGGGGGTTCTTTTTACCAATATCCCTATTTTACAGATGGGAATATGGGTCAGCAAAAAGAGACCAAGCTCACAGGTAGAGGAGGTGAAGTGTGAATTCGCACTAGTTCTCTCTGAATCCCCAAACCAAGCTCCCTCATGGGTGCTGTAAGACGAGGAAAGGCTGAGAGAAGGGTTCAGCCATTGCTTCACTTCGGACCCCCTGAAGTATACCGAGTGTGTGTGTGTGGGGGGGTGCGCTCACCAATGGGGCCCCAGGGTTCCTCATCCCGCTTGCCCTCTCCCAGGCGCTGGGAATCTGAGCTCAGACTGGCCTCTGCAGACAGCGGCTCGGTGCTCATGAAGCTGTGTCTGTGGCAGAACAGAGAAGTGCAGGTGGTGGCCTGGAGCTCCAGGCCCTGCTTCCTGGGAGTGGAGTTGGGGGCATTAGTTGGGTTGGGGCTTACCTCCGATATAGCTTGGAGTTGCCGGCACCCTCAGGCCTGTTGAGTGTGCTCAGGGAGGGCCATTGGTTGACCAGGGGTGTGGTGAACTCCTTGGAACCCTGGGCCAGGGGGGCATGGTCACCGGGGATCAGACCTGTCCTGGGAGGGGGAGGGGGATCAGGCCTGGCTGGAAAAGGGAAGCCAGACTCAGCAAAGGTAGGGGCCAGGGCTTAGAAAGGAAACCTGAGTGGTAAAAATGGGGATATATGCGGCTCAGGGGTGATGGCACGCACGTGGAATTCCAGCACTAGATGGTGGATGCAGAAGGAACACAAGTCTCAGACCTCCTACATAATGTGGCCATATTTCTAAAAGGAGCCAGGGAGGCAGTGTTAGATCCTGGAGCCGTACAGGGATAGCCTAGGGGCAGAGGTGGCCAGGACTGGTGCGCCCCTGTTGGGAGTTGGAGTGATGGAGTGTTTAGGAGTCAGAATGATGTATGAGCAAAGTGGAGAGGGTGGGTACTCTTGAAGGGGTGGGATTTGTGCTAGCTAGTTGGGACAGGTTTAGGGAAGAAATGTTCTAGGCTGTGGAGTCAATGGTGATGCAGGTCAGAGGTCTGAACAGTGGGAGTGGCACAATGAAGCTGAAGGCTGCTGAGGTTGCGTGAGTAATGTCCCTGCAGCAGTGGCTGGTCTAGCTGAGGTGATGGAGGCTCTTGGAGGCTGCGGGATCCTAATGTTAGGGGTAATGTTTGGCAACCGCAGGATCTTGGGAGAGGGGATGGGCTGGGTGCGCTGATGCGAAATGGAAGTTGGTGTCAGGAAAGTGATGCCATCCAATGGAGTCATTTTAGGGTTCACAGGGGTCGGGTCAGGGCAGGAGGCGGGCTCACAGCTGCTCCTGCAGCTCCAGGATCACGCCTTCCAGCTCCCGCTTCTCGCGCTGATTCTGCGCTGCAGCCTCCTCCAGCTGCAGCTGCAGCCGCCGGTTCTCCGCCTCCAGGTCCTTCAGCTGCGACTCGCGCAGACGCACCAGCTCCTCCAGGTATCCCTGTAGGGCGCCAGCTCAGCCTGGACTTCCAAGGGGGTCCCAGCCTGGACCCTGCCCACACCACACCCAGCTCCCCGAGCCTCGCCCCCCTCACCTTCTGTGCATAGACAATGCGAAACTTCTGTTCCATCTTGTGCCACTTGCTGTACCAACTGTCCTCGTCGGTGACCAGAGGCAGGTAGGGGTGCTCAGGTGAGTTGTCCTCGCTGGTGCTGCTCTCCGCGCTGTGCCGCTCCTCCTCATCCGTCAGGTAGTCGTAGCTTAGGAGCGGGAGCAGTGGGTGGGGCCGGCTCCGCCCCGCCTTGCCCCACTAGCACCCCAACTCCGACCCTTGGGCAGTGACACCAAGATGACACTCAGCGCCCTTCCGGTGCCCATCTCCTCACCCACCGCAATAACGGGGCTGCTCACCTCTGGGTGAATTTTAGGTAGGGTGTGTAATCGATGACCACCGGAGTCTTCCCGTCCAGAACTTCGCCCTTTAGACAGAAGCTGGGGCAGAAGAGCCACAGGGGTGGGGGGAGGGAATGAGGGGCGTTGGATAGTTGTGGGGAAGAAAGTCCCCTTCACCACTGCCATGCAGACCCCACCTGAAGTCGATGGCGCTCAGCCCAATCAGCATCCCTGTGAGGACAGTGGCTTCCTCCCGCAGCATGATGGCTCCGGAGTCATAGAACCGTCTGTAGGGAGAGGAGAACAGAGACTCCCAAGGGGCCCCACACCCAGGACTTCTCTGCTTGGCTTACTTACTGTAAACTTTCCTGGAGGAAGGAGATGCCTTTTTTCTGCTCACCAGACTATCTTCTTGGACTATCGTTGGAACTAGCGTCTGACCCCACCCCCATCCCCACCCCCACCCCCATCACAATGCACACGTCCTGACAAGAGACACTCTTCTGTTCTCTAAGCTAAGCAGCCTCTATCAAGCACTGGGTCACCCCAATCCTTCAAATCAGGGAGCAAGTCCTAGTCATTAGTGCTTGTCATACATACAGTAGATTCTCAAAAGACAACTCTGAAATGTGAAGACTAGGGATAGAATGTAGTTAAAAAAAAATCAGGTTGTGGGGGGGACCCCCTAACCTCAGTAGCTTCCTACCCCCACAATGGCATGTTCTGCCTTGTGATCTCTGACCCTCAGGACCCACCTTCTTGGCAACCCCCCAGGCCAAGCACCGAAGCTCCTCCACACATTGGAACTCTGTTCTTGGAAGAACAGAGTGAGTGCCTTTGTTTGCGAAACTGTCGGGGCTGTGTGTTGTAGGTCATGGCGCAAGGCCAAGTAAAATGGTACATGACTGAGGCCTCTGCAGTCCTGTCACCATGTGCATACTGGAACTTGTAGTCCAGATATTGAGGGTTTCTGTGGGGACTTAAGGCTTAGGCAATGAATGTGCATACTGCTGTCTGAGAGGTCTGTCTGACCTGGTAGTTCGGTTGTCCCGAAGAGCTGTGGTGATGTACTCTGACATACGCTTCTCCATGAGAGCCACCCGGATC